AGTCCAGGGCCTGATGGATTCCCTGGGGAAGTCTACCAAACATTCAAAGAAGAAATAATACCTATTCTCCTGAAGCTGTTTCAAAAAAAGAGAAAGAAAGCTTCCAGAGTCATTCTTTGAGGCCAGCATTACCTTGATCCCCAAACCAAGCAAAGACCCTATCAAAAAGGAGAATTTCAGACTGATATCCCTGATGAATATGGATGCCAAAATTCTCAAAAAAAATCCTGGCTAATAGGATACAACAGTACATTAAATGTATCATCCAGCATGGCCAAGTAGGATTTATCCCTGGGATGCAAGGGTGGTTCAACATTTGCAAATCAATCAATGTGATTCAACACATTAATAAGAGGAGAGTGAAGAACCGTATGGTCCTCTCAATTGATGCAGAAAAAGCATTTGACAAAATACAGCATCCTTTCCTGATTAAAACTCTTCAGAGTATAGGGATAGAGGGAACATTCCTCAAGTTCATAAAATCCATCTATGAAAACCCACAGCAAATATCACTCTCAAAGGAAAAAAGCTGAGAGACTTTCCCTTAAGATCAGGAGCACGACAAGGATGCCAACTCTCGCCACTATTGTTCAACATAGTACTAGAAGTCCTAGCAACAGCAATCAGACAACAAAAAGAAATAAAATGTATTCAATTTGCAAAGAAGGAGTCAAACTCTCTCTCTTTGCAGATAACATGATAATTTATGTGAAAAATCAAAAAGACCCCACCCCAAATTACTAGAACTCAAACAGCAATTCAGTAATGTGGCAGGATACAAAATCAATGCACAGATATCAATTGCTTTCTTATACACTAACAATGTAATGGTAGAAAGAGAAATTAGAGAATCGATTCCATCTACAATAGCACCAAAACACATAAGATATCTTGGAATAAACCTAACCAAAGAGGTAAAGGATCTATACACTAGGAACTACAGATCACTTATGAAAGAATTTGAAGAAGACACAAAAAGATGGAAAAACATTTCCATGCTCATGGATCAGAAGAATAAACATTGTTAAAATGTCTATGCTGCCCAGAGCAATCTATACTTTAAATGCCATCCTGATCAAAATACCAATGGCATTTTTCAAAGTGCTGGAACAAACAATCCTAAAATTTGTATGGAATCAGAAAAGACCCCGAATGGCCAAGGAAATGTTGAAAAAGAAAAACAAAGCTGGGGGCATCACGTTGCCTGATTTCAAGCTATATTACAAAGCTATGATCACCAAGACAGCATAGTATTGGCATAAAACAGACACAAAGACCAATGGAACAGAATAGAGAGCCCAGATATGGACCCTCAACTCTATGGTCAAATAATCTTCGACAAAGCAGGAAAAAAAATATGCAATGGAAAAAAGACAATCTCTTCAATAAGTGGTGCTGGGAAAATTGGACAGCTATATACAGAAGAATGAAACTCAAGCATTCTCTTACACCATACCCAAAGATAAACTCAAAATGGATGAAAGACCTCAATGTGAGACAGGAATCCATCAAAATCCTAGAGGAGGACATAGGCAGTAACCTCTTGGACATCAGCCACAGCAACTTCTCTCAAAAGCGAAAATGAACTTTTGGGACTTCATCAAGATAAAAAGCTTCTACAGACAAGGGCTGGTATCCAAGATCTATAAAGAACTTCTCAAACTCAAGACCCAAAAAACAAATCATTCAGTCAAAAAATAGGCAGAAAACATGAACAGACACTTCTCCAAAGGAGACGTACAAATGGCTCACAGACACATGAAAAAATGTTCATCATCATTAGCCATCAGGGAAATTCAAATCAAAACCACATTGAGATACCGCCTTACACCAATTAGAATGGCAACAATTGACAAGGCAAGAAACAACACATGCTGGAGAGGTTGTGGAGAAAGGGGAACCCTCTTACACTGTTGGTGGGTATGCAAGTTGGTACACTTTGGATAACAGTGTGGATTTTCCTCAAAAATTTAAATATAGAGCTACCTTATGGCCCAGCAATTGCACTACTGCATATTTATCCCAAAGACACAGATATAGTGAAAAGAAGGGCCCTATGCACCCCAACGTTCATAGCAGCAATGTCCACAATAGCCAAACTGTGGAAAGAGCTGAGATGCCCTTCAGTAGATGAGTGGATAAAGAAGATGGGGTCTATATATACAATGGAATATTACTCAGCCAACAGAAAGGATGAATATCCAACTTTTGCATCAACATGGATGGGACTGGAGGAGATTATGCTAAGTGAAATAAGTCAAGCAGAGAAAGTCAATTATCATATGGTTTCACTTATTTGTGCAACATAAGGAATAGCATGGAGGACATTAGGAGAAGGAAGGGAAAAATGAGGGGGGAGAAATCGGAGGGGGAGACGAACCATGAGAAACTATGACTCCAAGAAATAAACTGAGGGTTTTAGAGAGGAGTGGGGTGGGGGATGGGTAGCCCGGTGATGGGTAATTAAGGAGGACACATATTGCATGGAGCACTGGGTGTTATATACAATAATGAATCACGGAACACTACATCAAAAATTAATGATGTACTGTATGGTAACTAATATAATATAATAAAAATAAATAAAAAATAAAGATCATGGGCCACACAATCATTTGCTAATCTAAATCATCAAATTTAATTATCAAATAAGCTTCTCTTATTGTAATAGGTAATGAAAATGGTACCTATAATACTGGTGGATGCCATCATTCTTTTTTACTTATACACAAATTACATTTTTGCAAGATTAAAAAGTTGTTGCTAAATTCAGTGTAAAAATTTCCTCTCACTCTTTTTGAGAATATGAAGATGAAAAATCTTCACAGGTAAATGTTTCAACTTAAAATGTTCACTTAGCTTTTACCCAAAGTGAATAAATTATCTTTCAAGCTATAACTGGTTATTTTCTAACTTTGCCAACTGATAGTAGAATCTTTTTAAACAGTAAAGAACTTGCAAAATGCTAAAAATATAAACTATGTCTATCAAAGGAAGCAACTTTTCTAAAAAATATAAAAACTGAGAAAAATTAAACATGTATTTAAATACTCCTATTTTTAAACAGAAAAAGTTCAATCCTATTGTAATATCTCAATTTAATAAAGATCTATCAAAGGTGATAATGACTTTATTCAGTAAGTTTTAAAAATTCAGAAATTCTTTAATGGAAAAAAAAATGACTTGCCCAAGACTTTCAGCAACAATGGAGTTAATAAGAACCTGGGTATTTGGATTTTTCTATAAAATTACTTTATCTCCATTAGAATAGTGAATGTTATTAATTTTTTCTCAACATGTGTTTTTTTAAAAGATTCAACAGGAATCTATTTTTCTTTCTCTTTCACATAACCTTGAATTTTGAAGAACAAGTCACCCATTGAATTTCAAACCTTTCAGGTAAAATAATAACGGAAATATATTAAGGCAAATTGAGAAAAAAATTCTTTAAAAAAGACGATTGAATTTACTTGTAGACTAAAATGGCATAATATGTTTAATTGGATCAGATACTGGAAAAATCAACTGGTTTTAAAAAGTGATAAGGATATTTTTGGTGTGAAGAGAATATAATTTTAAAAAATGCTCTATTTCTAATTATGGGATTAATGCCTCCACAAACAATGGCTACCCATATATTCTCCTGGCTCTGCAGTCTCAGATTTAGCCAAGTAAAAACTGCATCCTTGTATGGAGTTGTGCTGAGGAAGTAAAACTAGTTTATAAGTAAAGTGACTTAAATCATTTCAAGATGGTACAAGCCAGATTCTCAGTTATCCACTTTGTCTGACTATAAATTAGAGAAAATAGTAACTGGAAGGAAGTTCATTTCCTTATGTCCAAATTATTTTATGAATTATTTTATTTATATGTTTATGAATTATGTGACTTAATTAACTTTAAACACCCCACTATACTCTGAATACTATTTTGATATATTATATGAATAGATACAGTTTTTCAACCATTTGAGGTTTTATTTTCAACCATTTGAGGTTGGTTAAATTAGCACTTAGAATGAACGAGAGATTTTTAAGACGGTCAATTTGTTTTTCTCTGAACTACTATAACATCTGTGCTTAAACACATAAACTTATCCTGTTCCTTAACTGTTTCATGCATGTAATTCTTGAATCATCAAGATTCAAAGTGTTATCTATGACTTCTGTATTTCCATAGCACACAGTAGGGTCCTAGACAAGTAACAGGTTATTTAAGATCCTAGATAAGTTATTTTGTTTTGTTTTTTTTAATAATTTTTTATTGTTATGTTAATCACCATACATTACATCATTAGTTTTTGATGTAGTGTTCCATGATTCATTGTTTGTGCATAACACCCAGTGCTCCACGCAGAACGTGCCCTCTTTAATACCCATCACCAGGCTAACCCATCCCCCCACCCCCCTCCTCTCTAGAACCCTCAGTCTGTTTTTCAGAGTCCATCGTCTCTAATGGTTCGTCTCCCCCTCCGACTTACCCCCCTTCATTCTTCCTCTCCTGCTATCTTCTTCTTCTTCTTCTTTTTTTTTTCTTAACATATATTGCATTATTTGTTTCAGAAGTACAGATCTGTGATTCAACAGTCTTGCACAATTCACAGCGCTCACCATAGCACATACCCTCCCCAATGTCTATCACCCAGCCACCCCATCCCTCCCACACCCCACCACTCCAGCAACCCTCAGTTTGTTTCCTGAGATTAAGAATTCCTCATATCAGTGAGGTCATATGATACATGTCTTTCTCTGACTGGCTTATTTCACTGAGCATAACACCCTCCAGTTCCATCCATGTCGTTGCAAATGGCAAGATCTCATTCCTTTTGATGGCTGCATAATATTCCATTGTGTTAGATAAGTTATTTTGAATTGCTGAAATGCATACTATAACATGCTGTTTACACAATATTTAATTTATTGTACAGCTTTAACAATCTACTAGTACAAGAAATACGGTAAAATTTTCATTCTATGCTACTATATACAAATTATTATTACCTGGCAACGATTTAGACCACTTGACTACTGAAAGAAGTTGTCTCTCGCCTAGTTGATTAAGACTCGTCAGCAAAGAACTGGAGGTATCAGGTTTGGTGTTGTCATGTCCTGCATAGATCACATCTGGTTCAATGCTCATTAGTAGGTTAATCAATGGGGGGATCAACTGTATATCTTGACTTGGTGAAAAAGAAATTCTTTGGCTTAGGGCTTGGCTTTCATTTGGAATGCCCACAGGCTGTGGGAGAGCAACAGCATCCAGTGCTCTCATAACTCTGACTTTATTGAACTTTTTAAACTTTCGACCTATAAAGGAAAAAAAGAAAAGATCATGTAAATACATATCAACTAAATCTTCTAGCAGACAGTTGTTTTTCTTAAGTCTTAGAATTATAGCATTGTAGGTTTTAGCATCAATCTAATAAAATGAAATTGAATAAGTAAACGTTAGGTCTCAGACTTGGATTAAAGAATTAATTATACCAGCATTTCCTGGGTTGGTGTGGTGTGAATATTTACGCCAGTATCTAATGGAAGATTATGGAACTTTGCAGCAATACGTATGAAAAGACAAATGGCTTTCAGTAGAGACTAAAGTGAGTATTGATAAATATTCTGACAGGACTATCTCCCAAAAGCTAATGCTACAGACTACATTCCTTAAAACATAGTTTTCAGTAAATGTTGAATCTTCTTTTGAGTTTCATTCTTTTGGGAATGTGTTGAGAGCTAGCTCAGAATAGTGTAAGATGATGGAGTAGGAATATCTTGAGCTCACTTTGTCCCATAGGCATACTAGTTAATAGCTACATCTATTCAACTAACTCTGAAAATGACCTGAAGACTGCAGAACAGACTTTCCACAGTTTTTTGTGGAAACGAGGGCACACTGAAGAGCCTAGGAGGGGTGGAGACACAGCTGGGGACTGAATCTTTGGTGGGATTAACCACAAAAGGGAGGGACATCACAAGCATGGATAAGCAAGGGGATCAGACCCCACACCAGGCACTCCCAGCACTGGGCACCTGCAATGGGAAGATGAGTCCATATAACATCAAGCTTTCAATACTAGCATGGCTTAACTTCAAGAGCTTTAAAAATCAGTGGGCTTAATGCCCATTCCTGTGGGAACTAGTACAAACACTCCATTTACCTTGCTAAGACTGTATACCCAACAATGATGTTCTCTTGTGGACCCACTACCTCAGCAGGTATCCCTCCAAAGTGTCTCTGGCTATGGGAAGGTGGGGGTTGGAGGGGAAAGAACTTCATACATCATCATGCCCACAGTTCCAGCAGCCAGCCTCTTAGCTGCCTGTGCAGGGAGCAAGCCTTAACCTTCATGCACCCGAAATTGTGGTAGAGTGGTTAACTGAAGACATTTGGTCTGACTGCTGGCCCCATCCACCAATGAGCTCACGGTCACCTCAGACAAGACCCTCAAAATTGTGGGGACCAAACCCTGTCCAGTGTGCAAACTGGATCATTGCAGCTGGTTGGGCTGGAATCAACTGCAGATCAGCCACAACAGTAGGTACACACAGCACACACAGGGGGCAGCCCTGGAACACCCAGTTCTGGTGACCAGGGGGGATTGTGCTACAGGGTACCACAGGACCTCTTCTTTACAAGGTCACTACTTTGAATACCAGGAAATACACCTGACCTACCAAATACATGTAAACAAACACAGAGTCAGGCAAAATGAAGAGACAGAAAAATCTCTCCCAAATGAAGGAACGAGACAAAATTACAGCAAAAAATCTAAATGAAATGAAAATAACCAATGTCGGATAAATAATTCAAAGTAATAGTCATAAAGATACCCACTGGACTTGAGAAAAGCGTGGATCATTTGTTAGGTCTTCAGTAAAGAGATGGAAAGTACAAAAAGAACCAGTCAGAGATGAAGAATTTAATAACTGAAATAATATACTGGAAGAAATCCATAACAGATTAGAGGATGCAGAATAACAGATCAGCAATGTGGAAGACAATGTAATGGAAAGCAATAAAGCTTAATGGGAAAGAGAAAAAAGAATAAAAAATGAAAAGAGGTTAGGGGAACCCAGCAGCATCATCAGGAGTAAAAATATTTGCATTATAAGGATCCCAGAGAGAAATGAGAGAAAGAAGAGACAGAAAAGTTACTTGAAGAAATAATAGCTGAAAACTTCCTTAATCTGAGCAAGATAACAGACATCCAAGTCCAGGAAGAACAGAGAGCCCCTAACAAGATGAACCCAAAGAAGTCCATATCAAGATAGATAACAATTAAAATGGCAAAAAGTAATGATAAAGCAAAACTTTTTCAAAGCAGCAAGAGAAAAGAAAACAGTTACATACCAGGGAAACCCCATAAAGGTATAAGCTGATTTTCTAATAGAAACTTTGTAAGCCAGAAGGGAATGACATGATGTCCTCAAAGTAGTGAAAGAGAAAAGCCTACTACCAAGAACGTTCTACCTGGTAGGCTATAATACAGAATTGAAGAAGAGATAAAATATTTCCCAGGCAAACAAAAGTCAAAGAAATGCATCACCACTAAACCAGACTTAAAAGAAATGTTGAAGGAAATTATTTGAGTGGGAAGAAAAGGTCATAGCTAGAAGTAAGGAAATTATGAAAGAAAAAAATTTCACAGGTAAAAGCAAACATACAGTAAAGGTGGTAACTTAATGACTTGTAAAGCGAATATGAAGCTAAAACCACAAAAGTAGTAAAATCAGTTATATTTCTAAAAATCAGTCAAGGGATATACAAAGGCACATAGTATATGGCATCATATATGTAAAATGTGGATGAGAAAGTAAAATTTAGTACTTATAGAATGTGTTAAAACTTAAGTGACCATCAACTTAGTGTAGACTGCTCTACACATAAGATGTTATATCTGAAACCAATGGTAACCTTACAAATAGAAAGCCTATGATAAAATACACCAAAAAAGAAAGGAATCCAAGCATGACACTAAAGAAAGCCATCAAACCACAAGAAAAGAAGAAAGGAACAGAAGAGAACTATAAAACAAACCACAAAACAATGAACAAAATGGCAAAAATTACGTACCTATCAATAATTTCTTTAACTGTAAATGGATTAAATGCTCCAATCAAAAGACTCATGGTGACTGAATGGATGAAAAAACAATACCCAATTCTACAATCCTAGAAGAAACTCACATCAGACCTAAAGACACATACAGACTGAACATAAAAAGAAGGAAAAACATGTATAATGCAAATGGAATTGAAAAAAAAAAAAAGCCAAGGTACCAATATTTAGACAAGATTTTAAAACAAAGACAAAGAAGAACACTACATTACTATAAAGGGATGATTTCAATAAGAGGATATAACAATTTTAAATATCTATGCACCCAAAATAGGAGCACTTAAATATATAAAGCAAATAACAGACTTAAAGGGAGAAATTAACAGTAATACAATAACATTAGGGGACCATAATGTCCCACTTACATCAACAGATAAATCATCCAGGCAGAAAATCAACAAAGAAACAGTGGCTCTGAATGACAGATAGACCAGAAGGACCTAATAGATATACACAGAACAGACCATCCAAAAACAGCAGAATACACATTCTTTTCAAGTACACGTGGAATATCCCCCAGAAGAGATCACATGTTAGGCCACAGGACAATTCTCAATAAATTTAAGAAGATTGAAATCATATAGAGCATCTTTTCTGACCACAATGATAAAGAACTAGAAATCAGTTATAAGAAAAAAAACTGGAAAAAACACAAACACACCTCTGTGACCTAAACAATTTATAGGTCAACCAAGAAATCAGAGAGGGAATAAAAAATACATGGAGAGAAATGAAAACGAAAACAGAATGATCCAAAATCTTTGGGCTGCAGGAAGCAGTTCTAAGAGGAAAGTTTATAGCAATACAGGCCTACCTCAAGAAACAAGAAAATCTCAAATAAAGAACCCAACCTTACATCTGAAGGAACTAGAAAAAGAAGAACAAACAGATCCCTAAGCTAGTAGAAAGAAAATTAAAATTATGGCAGAATAAATAAAATTCAGACTAAAAAACCAATAGAAAAGATCAATGAAACTAAGAGCTGATTTTTTTAAAAAAAGTAAACAAAATTGACAAAACCTTAGCCAGAATCATCAAGGAAAAAGAGAGAGGATTCAAATAAATAAAAGCAGAAATAAAGGAGGAGAACTAATTGACACCACAGAAATATAATGGAGTATAAGAGACTACTACAAAAAATTATAGGCCAACAAACTGGACAACCTAGAAGAAATGGATAAATACCTGGAAATATAAACAATCTCCCAAACTGAATAAGGAGGAAAAAAAGAAAGTAGAACAGACCAGTTACTAGCAATAAAACTGAATAAGTGATCTAAAGTTCTTAACAAACAAAAGTCCAGGACCAGATGGCCTCACCACAATGAATTCTATCAAACACTTAAAGAAAAATTAATATGTATTATTTTGAAATTATTCCAAAACAAAGAGGGAGAAAAACTTTCAAATTCATTCCATGAGGCCAGCACTAACCTAACATGAAAACCAAATAAAGACACTAGAAGAAAAAAAAACTACAGGCCAATATCGCTGATGAACATAGATGCAAAAATCCTCAACAAAATATTAGCAAACAGAATTCAATGACACATTAAAAATTACTCAACACAATCAAGTGAGATTTATTCCAGGGATATAAGGGTGATTCAATATTCACAAATCAATCAAAGTGATCCATCAAATAAATAAGAAGAAGGATAAAAACTATATGATGACCTCGATGCAGAAAAAGCATTTGACAAAATACAACATCCATTCATAGTAAAAACTCTTCAAAAAAAGTGGGGTTAGAAGGAATATATCTCAACATAATAAAGGCCATATATGAAAAACCCATAGCTAAGATCATATCCAATGGTGAAAAACATGGAGCCTTTTCTCTATGATCAGGAACAAGACAAGGATTTCCACTCTCATCAGCATTATTCAACACTCTACTGGAAATCCTAGCCACAATTGGACAAGATAAAGAAGCAAAAGGCATCCAAATTGGCAAGGAAGAAGTAAAACTGTCACAAATTCAGATGACATGATATTTATATTAAGGATTCCACTAAAAACTTTTAGAAGTAATGAATTTAGAACAGTTTCAGGGTACAAAATCAAAATACAGAAATCTGTTGCATTTGTATACACTATAATGAAGTAACAGATAAATTTAGAAAACAATTACATTTATAATCACGCCAAAAAAAAATACCTACAAATAAATTTAATGAAAGAGGTGAAA